GAGGGCTTTTCCTATATCTCAAGAAAACCTTTGAAGTAATATTGCACCCGTTATACCTCGTACTGCTTACCAAATCACTCTGAAATTGAGTATCTTACACACAGCAACCCTCATTCTTCTCCTGGCGTTCTAGGAGTTCATGGGGTTCAGGGACGTGGTGTGTGCTCAGTGATCTTCATGCAGTTGCAGCTGGCACATGGGTAGCTGAAGCTGAATCATTTGCAAAGGGGTCACTCCATGTATGACATTCCAGCCATCTGAGGCATGGGACTGGACGACATGGGCATCTCTCGGTGGCCTCTCTTCGTGGTTTGTGGAGAATGGGAGCCTCAGCGTAGCTGGAATTTATACAGGAAGGGTTGGAGCTTTAAAAAATGCATGTGCTGGTAGAGAAAAAGCCGCATAATGGAAGCCAGGGATGCGTTAGGACCGAGACTTGGAAGCCACTGGGCATCCTGTCCACCACCACGTGTTACTCATCACGGCAGTCACAAAGACCAATTTTGTAGGAAAGAGTAAATAGATCTCACCCTTTGACAGGCCTGCAAATATTCTTGTGGCCAATTTTGGAAGATGCAATCTGCCGTAGTGAACATCTGCACAAAATGACGCACATACTTCCCACGTACAAAAGACGGCCACCTCAAAACCTCACCTCCTTATCCCAAAAGGCTCACGCTCAAGATCTAAAATCTCATTGGTCTAAAGAAGGCCAAGGTCAGCTTCCATGCTGGGCCTTCGACTCCGACGCATGGTGATTCCATTTGGGTAAGAGTAGGACTGTGATCCAGCAAGTATTTGAGGGCTAATTTTTCTTAAACAGATTGTCAGACTTTTTCCCCAAGACACCTCTGAGTGGAACAAAATGCCAACCTTTAGTATAATGGCTTCACTCTTCACTCTGCCAGAGCGGGCCCTCCGGAGATGATTGTCCTCCAACCTGACACTTTCTAACTGGACACTGGGAACTCTGAATGGCTGTTACCTACATTTCACACAACAAACACACAGAAGGACCAGGTAAAAGACAAGTGTTACACCACCACCACCACCACCACCACCACCCACCCCCATGACCTGATCTGAAATCAGAGGCATCTTGTGGTATATAGAAGTGGCTCAAACAAACAAAAATAACCCAAACCCATTGCCATCCACTTACGAGTAGAAAACCCAGTCATTTTCCCCATTGCCATTTACTTACGGAAGGAGTAGAAAATCCAGTCTTTCTCCCGACAAGCTGCTGGTGTTTTCAAACTGGTGACCATGCGAACCACTGCCCCACACGTAACCACTACACCACCAGAGCTCCGCAGAAGTGACTATGACACAGTAATTCTGAAAATCAATGGCCACATGTTGCTAGTGTCTTCCTTCCGACTTAGTCCTAAGGCCTGGAAACCATTTCCCAATACTTGTCCCCATGTTCCGGAAACCTGGCTTCACCCTTTGAATCATCCTCCCTCATCAAACTGGGGCAGTCTCACAGGCCTGCACAGGTTCAAGAGAGGGGTTATAGGTCCTGGTAACTATGGGAGAGGAGAGGTCATGGAGGAGTAGAAGGGATTAAAAATATGGTTAAAGTTCTTTTCAGAAAAGAAATAATCTGCACATATCCTTTGAGTTATGCAAATCTTCTGAACAACTCTACGATAACGAAGTTTAAAATGTGGCTTTGGTTCATTACCTTTGAGGGAGAAGCTTAGGGGCTGCTTTGTTTTAGCACATTGAAAGCGTTTTGAATCATGCTTATTAACTAACTACAGCTTCACACATTTTGTTACTTTTCCGCTCTTAGAAGTTGGCTGCTTTGGGTAAACCTGTTTAATACTGGCTTACAAAATTGTCCATTGAGTTGGAAAATTAACTCTGTTCTTTTCCATTCATATTTGGATGTTTACCATTTACTTCATGTTTTCAGGGTGCCAGGACCTGAGGTAAGCATATTACATAAAATATCTATTTTGGTCTGAGATAGTTACTAATGTCATTTGTATAATACATGATTACATTGAGGCTAAAAGGGATCTGCCTAAAAACCCAATTTAAAAATTGCAATTATGGACCCCTGACCCCAACACAAATGCACACACACTCACACACACACACACACAGAATTCTGTTACTCCTTAGCTTGGTGGTGGTTTCTCATTTTCATAACATGGGTCACTCTGTGATGTCGTGTAGACCTTACGTATGTGTTAATCTGACTCTTCTCATCTGGACAGAAGAGGGTCAGAAATTAGATATGTTCTATTCACTGATATAGCGCAGTAGATTCTGGTTCATGATGGCATGAATTATCAACGACTAAGTGGTAGTGTGGAGATTTGAACCCATTTCTGACTCTCCCTTATTTTATTTTCACCATTTTCTTTCCTTGTGTCCTCAAAACCAGGGGAAGAAAGTGCTGTCACCCAAAAGGTGACAACCCAACCAGGGGATGTTTCAGAAAATAGACCCGCTTCCAAATGATCATACCCTTGACAACTCCAGGGAAGCTCCACTCTGCACACGTGCCTCATTGTGCGTTGCAAGTCAATTGGTTGCAAGTCAATTGGTGGCAGCTTGACAGCGCACAAGCTCAATGAGTCACAGCAGCCACAACCACAACTAGTGAACAGTCTGCTCCCAAACATTAAGTGTTCTGGCATCATCACATATCCCAGGTTAATGGTTAGTCAAATACACAATAGGCAAATAACCTCACGATTTACAGATGTTTCTATCCATTCATAAAACCGCATGCCTTTTTGTAAAATAGTTCCCTGGTTTCTGAGGAAATTATGGTTATTTGTGAAATACAGGCATAATAGTCTATAGTAAAAATACATCTGGATATAAACCTTAAAACTTTTGTTCTTTACCTGCCGTCCTCTTTTAGCAAAGCTACCTTGTATTGAGTATTGCTCTCCTCTTCACCCTGGTTAACATGAGCTGCTTCCTAGCCCCTGATTGCCCTCCCTCCCTCTCTCCCCTTCCATCCGTGGGGAACATCAAAGAAGATTTCTCTTCGTGTGCAAACCTTTCCTTGACTTTTTACAATAATCATATCTCATGCAAAATTAGTCCCAGAAATTTTTTTTAAAGTCTGTTTGAATTTGTTTTTTCTTAACTTTCAATAAATGTTTTAGGCTCACGTCTTGTAGTGAGAGTGCCCCCTTTTAAAATGAATTCTTATTAACAATATTATGTTTCTTGACTTTTTAAAAGTTTCCCTTTTTTCAACTTAGGAAGTTTCCCCTTAGTAAATTTTCATTTAAATACTAGATGTGTATCTTTCTCTCTTTTTCTATTCAGGCTTAATACAGGGGTGCACAGCTTAATGGCACTAATTCTGACCACATGTGGGGTTTCATACGTTGTTTTTGTTTTTTAAGTGAAAGCAGCTCCCTTTTTGTTCATTATCTCCCCGCAATGGTTTTAAAGACCCCACGCCCAGAGTCTTGCAGCAGTGGACCTCAGGTGGGATGCAAGCAGGCGAGGCAGGGGTCTTGGTTCTAGCTCAGGGTTGAGAGTGTTGTCTTGTGTCTGGCCCTCCCCTGATGGCGCCCACTTGTTCCCCGACTGCAGCCTGCTCCCCAGGCCCCTACCTGGAGTAATTCCAGCAGCAGCAGCAGCAGCAGCAGCTACAAGGATACCTGGAAGCAGGTTTCCACACTATTTTCATAGCACGGAGCTCACACATGCCCAAATCACAGAAGGCTCTATTTCACAGAATGTGATGTGCACCTCCAGTGCACATCCCTGCATATTGACTATTGCGTAACTCACGGTTGGCACAATACTCACAAACTTCTTTTGTTAATCACCTCCCTTCCCATAGATATGTTCGTTCCTGTTTGCTTGTGTTCCTCCTCTTGGGCAATTGAAATACTCCCATTGATTTGTTTTCTCGAGATACCATGGACACCCTCATTTGTTTGCTACTCCAGATTTCTATTTTCTCACCTCTAAAATGATTAGCATGTAAGCAAGATTGTTTGTGTACCTGCATGAAGTAGCAAGGATGCAAGTATAAAGCGGTTCCACTAGATGAATTCTGTCTCAGAATTGACCCATCAGCAACTAACAATAGTAACAGATGATCTCTAAATGCTTCATCTCAATGAAACCTTCTATAAATCTTTATAAATCTCAAATAAACAAACCACTTGCTGTTTACGCCCTTCCAAGTTACAGCAGCCCTGTGCTCTACGGAGTAGAACGGAGCTCTTCTTGGCTGAAATCATTAAGAAAGTGGATGTCTAGATTCTTCTTCTCTGTGGCCATGAGTCGGTTCAAACCACCAACTTTAGTTGTGCAAGGTCATTACATCCAGGGACGGTTAGCCCCCTGCCATCAAGTTGATTCCACCTCTAGCGACTCTGTAGGTCTTTGAAGACTCACTCTTCACCAAAACAGGAAGCCTCGTCTTCCTCCTGCAGAGCAGCTGGTGGATTTGAACCATTGGCCTTGAGATGAATAGTCCAACATGTACCCAACAGTGTCACCAGGCAACTCATTGCAACCCTGAAGGACAGAGGCAAGCTCCCCATAAAGGCTCCCCATGCAATAGCTCTTTGTAGGAGGAGCTGGCCACACCTTTCTCCCGAAGAGTGGCCGACTGGTGAGTTCAAACCGCTGACCTTCCTATCATGGAATAGGCGAGCACTTTCACCACTACACAATCAGCCCTGTAGGTTTCCGATAGGTGTAGGCTGAGACTCTTGGGAGGCTTTCGCTTTCTCCGTTGCACCTTCCACGATGGTGGCCAGCACCCTCTAGCTCCAACAGCTGAATCAGCGTCTCTGCGCTCATGCTCAGGTGTGTAGCCTTAGCAGGGGCCCTGGACACATCAGGCTGAAAGGCAAGCCTGGTGTCTCCACGCTTGGGAACACACAGGAGCTGTGACCACTTCAGCAAGTCTGAGCAAGGGTGAACTCTAGCCTAGCAAATAGTTTCCCTGTAGAACCTCCTAACCCGCCCCCATCACGTCCCTTCTTCTTCTTTCCCTTCAGTTTTGACCCGGCCCCGGCCGCACAGCGACGACTACAGCGCCATGAAAAAGATCCCGCCGCGAAAGCCCAAACGCAGCCCCCACACCAAGCTGAGCGGCTCCTACGAGGAGATCACGGCCCCCAAGGCCGGGGAAGGGAAGGCGGGCCAGGCGGCCTGCGGGGCCGCTCCCCAGCCGGAGCCCACTGCCAAGTCCAGGGCCGCCTCGGCCGACGGGCCGCCCCCGGGCGCGCTGGCCCCGGCCTTGGCGCAGGAGGACGAAGACGACGACACGGAGCCCGTGTACATCGAGATGGTCGGCCATGCCATCAAGGCTGCGGGCGCCGAGGGGGACAGCCCCGACCCAGGGGAGTCGGTGTACGAAGAGATGAAGTACTTTTTGCCCGAGGACAGCGGTGGTGGCAGCAGCCTGGGCCTGGTCTCTTTCATGGCCGCCTCGCCCCCTCTGTTTTTTGAGAGTCGAAAACCCATCCCCTTTGAGGACAGTGATAACAGCTGTCAAGCCACTGGGCCCTTCAAAGATACGTGTGACATCCCACCCCCTTTCCCGAACCTGCTTCCTCATCGCCCACCACTGCTGGTGTTTCCTCCCACCCCGGTGACCTGCTCTCCTGCTTCCGACGAGTCGCCCCTAACCCCCCTGGAGGTGAAAAAACTGCCCGTCCTGGAGACCAACCTAAAATACCCCGTCCCGGCTGAAGGATCAAGTCCCCTGTCTCCACAGTATTCCAAATCTCCCAAAGGCGAGAGTGACCGGCCTGCCTCCCCGGGATTCACTGTCTTTAACGGCTCGAACAAAGTGTCCTCTCCATCCACCCCGCCGCCACCGCCCCCGTTACCCCCTCCTTTGCCTCCGCCTGCTACCTTCCGGCCCCCCACCCATTTTGCTTTCCCCCCGGACACGTGTTTGGTTAACACGGGAAAAGCAGCGGCAGGCTCCGATGGGCCCAAAGTACATCCAAAGCCACCCTCCGCTCCAGTGGGCGGTGCCTGCAGCTCTTTCGCCAAGCGCCCTGGCTCCCCAGGGAAGGCGGCCCGAGGGGACCCCCGAAGGTCCACATCCAGCTCCTCCTCCCCGGGGCCCTACAGCCCCCCTAACTCCAGGCCGCTCACCAGCCCTCTGGACGAGTTAGCCAGCCTTTTCAACTCGGGAAGGAGTGTGCTTCGCAAGTCTGCAGTAGGACGGAAAATTCGAGAACCTGAAGGTAAGCAGGGGAGATGATAGTTCCTTCTTCCGTGTGTGTGTGTGTGTGTGTGTGTGTGCCTGCGTGTGTAAAACACAGCGAGCAAGCTGAGTAAATGAAAAGTAGGTCAAGGCGAAATACACTTATCGAATGAATGAATAACCTACACCCCTATTTATTCTTCAGATAAATAAGCTAATTGTTTGTTTAGCTAACAATTTCTTCTTAATTATAGGCCATTAATAAATGAAATTGTACTTGCAAGCAGCAGAATGTTAGCATTTCACACAAGTCACACACTTCATTCCCAGCAACAAAATGCAATCTAAGAGAAAAGCATTCAATGAACAAATTAATATTTGCTTTTAAAACTAAAAGCTTTTTAGAGCCTCATAAACTTCCTTTTGCTAAGAGAGGAGGATTTGGCGAGTCCTTCTTGGCTTGCTCAAGGAAGCGAAGTTAATGAATTTCTAGGAAGGAGGCTGCATTTGGAAATACCAAAGCCTGGTTAGTGGTCAGAGGTCGTCAGAACGATGGTGCGGACTCCAGGCTCCGTGTGTGTGTGTGTGAACCTCATCATAGTTCCCGGTGGGGGCATTCGGCAGCATTCTGGAACACATAGCAGACTCTCAAGGACAGCATTATCAGTTCAACACTCAAACTATAAACTATCTCTTTTCCTACCGTGGGCTTTTACAAAACACTTTTCTAATTTGAAAAGATTGGATAGAGCTACTTCAGACTTTCTTCATAAATAAATGAATTGGCAACTCCTACCATTTACGCAGTAGGTTTGTAATAGAGAAGGTAGCCATATGAGACCCGGTCATCCCCACACACCAAGTTATAAAGTTTTTAACTATGCAATTGAGCTATTTGTAATTCTTAGTGGTCTCGCAGGTGGAACATCATTCGATTTGTTGGCTTGATATGTTTTTTTATGGGATAATTCTAGCTGTTCTCATGCCTATTACAGGTGTACAAAATTGGAAATGAAGCTGAACATTCCTTTGGCTTTTTGAAGAACTCATGGGTTATTAGGAATGTTTCCTAATATCCTTGTGATTTCTTCCTCTTGACATTTTAAATCTATCACTTTGACCTCTTGGAACGTAAGGGCATTTTTAATCTCACCTGCAGCCTCTTCTCTCACTACGTTCCCAGTGGGTGGCTTAGTCACCCTCGAGGAATCTAAATGACCTGTAACCCATTTCTTGTACAGTTTTGATTGGGAAAAATTGTTCTGGAACTTCTGCCAAAGGATTCATAATATTCCCCTTGCCTCTTTTGAAGGGTGACCTTGACCAGATGAAATTGCTCATGAATCCCCTGATGTAGGGATTCTCAGTTGAGATGTCATGCATAGTGAGTTGTACACAAAAAGTGAGAGTGTCATATTCTACTATCTCCTGTTGCCTAGACTTTTGTGCCGTAATTCATGAACACTAATATCCTTAAAACAGTTGGTTTTCTCTAACTCCTTGAGATCCAATTTAGAACATGCAAAATTAAACAGCTTCCCAGGCTTCAGGATGCACATAGATAGGAACTTTTATCGTGCACATAATAGATACGACCCCCGTCTGGGAGGAATCATCTTAGCAGCAGGTAGTTCTAGTGGGCTCACTCTATTGCAGGTATTGCTTAATAACCTATTTAATTCTCACAAGACTCTGGAGTAGCTATTCCTACCATCCCCATTTTGCACGTGGGAAAACTGAGAGATGGAGCGAGTTCTCAATTCACTTCACATGTCCCTGCTCATGAAAACAGAGACACGTGACTCGAATCCTGCAATTCCTCTTAACAAACATGATGATGATGATGCAAATTCAGACTACAACAGTATCAGCAGCCACTGCAAAAAAAAAAAAAGATGCTCAGATATGTGTTCAGTAGAAAGGAGTTTATTCCAGTTTTTACATTTGTGCACCTGAGATCAAGAAGCAGGACTCATACAGGCTGTTCCATAAACCCCAAAGGAGCCAAACATGTCCGTCATAGCTTATCTTTACAAATAACAACTTCCAATAGAGCAGGGAGGCTACTTGGCCTTTAAAATTAAGAATGACTAAATGTTTAATAGTCTATTCCTATCTCAGAACAATTATCTCATTCATAAAAAATGTTTTTGTCTGATGCTTTAATATGACTAGTATTGTTATGCTAATTATTTCTAGTTGCTGGATTTCCCAAAATATGAGACCTAATTCAAATGATGAAGGGGAGCTTCATTGGCTTGTTCAAACCACTAGGGTGTCCCATTGCTCTAAATGGCATCTCAGAGTCGGCTTGAGTTTATCCAGAATAACACTGGTAAAAATAAAAATAAAATGAGCACGGAGAAAGACCAGGATGTTCACGTATGGACCCATTGCAGTACAAACTCAGAGATCTTACAGAGGGCTATGCGGAATCCATGAAAAGCCTCATTCCCAGAATATTTGTTAACTGATCTCAGGTTTATGACTTTGTATTGAGGTTCCTCTTGGGTGTAGGGGCTGCAAATAGGCACTTAACATGAGGTCAACGAAAGTGTTTATTGTATCACCTTTGTTTGCAGACGGCAGGTAGTCATGAAACCCGTGTTGAATGAAAACATATCTACCTTACAAAGCAGTTGGGCTGATGAAAAAATGTTTGAAATATTCCGTTCTTAGGACATTTTAACTTTGATATGAATCGCTTAAGCTACATGTAAATAACTATAAGTTTCACCTATTTTTTATTATATCAGCATTCTGCAAAGAGGATTTGGAGTTTGAAATTAGATGATTGGATAAACCAAGATTTTCAATATTGTATTTTGATTCTGAAGGGTCATTCATATAAAAACTCAACTTTTTGTAAAAGTTTTCCTTTGGGAAAGTTTCAAACATAATCCAATGTAGAGAAAATTGCATGATGAACCCTATCCCTGACCAATCCTAATTCACTTCCACCTCTACTTGTTACCTCACTCCCCCACTTGTTGAAGTACATCCGCAAAGTCATAGCACCTTTTTGATAACATGGATAAAAAATGGGGTTGTTTTTGTCTTAAATCACTTTAATATAAGCCAGTCAATCCATTTAAAACCTCTTTTATGTTAGACTGCTCCCAATGATAGAAGCCTGATCTAGAAGGTATAATACCAGCCGTCATGATATAAAACAGGAGGATTCTCATGGGTTAGATCTCTACCAAAAGAAAACTAGCCTGTGAGATCTTCTATATAAGTTTGGATGATAATCCCTGAAGTGATCAGCAAACGGAGTCAGCCCATTCTACTATAGTCTATAACATCTGTCAATCTGCCTTTTGAGGGGCATAAAATAAATGAATTTCTCAATCTTATAACCAAACAAAAGAGAAGTCTGGAAAAGTGAAGATCAAGATGATGTACAAAAAATGGTGTACAGAATGATGTTCAAATCATTGCTTTGTGAGAATTAGAAGCCCCAGGCCAAATTAAGCTCAGCTACCTATATGTTGCTTAAAGACAAGAAGCGGAATCCCACGAAGTCATTGAATCACCACTAAATTCCGTGCAGGAATCTGTGACTTGCTCAATCAAGGACAGTGTTTGTAAATTGCCATATTCTATTCCTAGTGTTTGAAATAGAAGTTTTGATACTGTTTTCATTTAATCTCTAGCACATTCTAATGCGATTGCAGCATAAGAAACAGGGCTGCCTTGTGCAAAGCTAGTCAGCCCATCATACGAAGCAAAGCTGGATCTCTCATAGGCTTCTTGCCTTTGCTCAGGCTCTTTTAGTGTTTTATCTTCTCCAAGACAGTTCCTCTTGCTCACGCCCCCAGATGCTTTCTCTTGGAGATGATTTATTTGTGCTGGGTAGTGACAAGAGGGTCCATGAAAATTATAAAGGGCGTGAACAGGGGAAGCACATCGTTAACTGATGTGTCATTGTTCTCAATGAGCTGGTGCTGTCTGCATTCCAGGTGAACCTAAAAGTCTCCCCCCATGGAAACAGAGCAGTCCTGTGCCCCATAGACCCATCTTGAATTGAAGCCAAGTGTTCCTCATTTCCCCAGTGAATCAGACCTTTGGGGAGACTAGATTAACTTCTCCAGAGAAGGAATGTCTTCATCTATCAACGAGGTTATTAGACAACGTGTAGAAAGGTAGAATTTCTCTCCCTTCACTCTGGCAATGAAAATTGAACTTTGACTTGGGAAGAAAGAGGCCTAGTGAAATATATTTCATTCTTTTGTTTTTGTTTTGTGGCATTGCACTTGCTAAATTCTGGTCCTTCTGTCATAATAGTCCTTCTGTCATAATAAGGCGTACCTCTGCCTGAGGCTATACATTAGAATGTTTGTCATTCTCCATATCTTCAACAGTAATGATAATTTAGTTCATCTGCTCTTAGAAAGAAACTTTAGATTTTAATGAATTGATCAATAGCAAATGTATCTACATTAAGAGCACAAAGTTTTTAGTCACCCAATTAATTGGAATAATTTTAAATATATATAGCTAAAGAGAGGGATATGCTATAAAAGCATGTGACGTTTTCTCTGAACTTACAGCACATCTATTACATGTGCTGTATATATCTATATATCCCCAAGAATTGACACAGGAAAACTCTGCTACTGAAAAGCCTGTAAACGAGACTTTAGCTAACTTAACATAGATGACTCCCAAATAGTTATCAAGTAAGATTCACTTAATGTAATTTTATGGCTGTGACTAAGAATGCCAAAAGAAAATAAGTAGTCCTCTCACAAACGAATGGGCCAGGAGGCAGATGAGAGCATTCAATTTCAATAAGTGAAGTAATACTAAACGAGAGAATGAGGTAATTTGTTTTTTAATCTCAGTGACATAAACTATTAGTGGAGCAATAGATGAGCTTTCACATGCCCCATAATCCCCAGTGGCACATTGTTGTTGGTAAGGGCCATCAAGTTGGTTCTGACCCATAGCGACCCTGTGCCCCACAGAAAGAAACACTGCCTAGGCCTCTGACACCCTCACAATTCTGGTCATATCCGAGCGTGATTTCAGCCACCG